TTGTTTGTTTGTTTGAAGTTAAAGCATAAAGCTACACAATGGGCTATCTGTGCTCTGCCCACCACGGGTATCGATCGTATCCGGACTAAATTTGGAAAAGATTGTTTGTTTGTTTGAAGTTAAAGCATAAAGCTACACAATGGGCTATCTGTACTCTCCCCACCACGGGTATCAAAACCCGGTTTCTAGCGTTGTAAGTCCGCAGACATGCCGCTGTGCCACTGGAGGGGCGGAGAAGACTGTCCCGACCGACTTTCCATCTTGTATAAACAAATTTCGTGTTCATCGGTCTATTAGTTTTCTCGCGATACGCGCGCGGAAACACAGACACACGCAAGGACCCAGTGGTAAATATGTTATCCATCGTATAAAGCTTTAAGGAAGTTTAATTTTGATTGTTGTTGCTTAATTTGGACGAAACGCTCTGTTCACGAACGTGGTTGGTCGAGAGGACTGCTCGATGTACACAATACTTAACTTTCGCATCCTGTCCTTCAATTACAGGACGACTCTAGTTCATTCCACGTGTTTAGAAGGTCAGTTGCATAATCAGGAAGGAAAGTGATCATCTGGTTGACGTGTGTAAAGTAAACATCCCGTTGTCATAATGACGCAACATAATGTTGTTATTGTACCATCCTAGCCTGTATTTCACGTGGACTTATATAAAGCTCTTAATTAAAATTAAGTAATTGTACGATTTATTACAGTACGCCTTTGGAGTTTGAAAAATTCCAATGCTCTGGAGAATTATAATAGCAAGAAAATATCTTTCGTGTGTCTCTGTACGGTTACACTTTGTTTGTATTATTGTTCGCTTGAAATGAAGTTACTTTTTAGTATTGCCAGTTAGACTTCTTAACAAACAATAATTTCTAAATTATTTATTGTTTTATTCTAATTAAATATTGTACTGATATATTACCCAGTGCAGTGTTGTTTACAGATCTATATTTAAAATCGAACAAGCCGTAAAAAAAATCTATCGATTTAGTTCGTGTGATTTTTATGGCTTCGTGATTTCTACGAAAGCATGACCACACATCAGAAAAACACAGATCAAGTAGTTTATACGTAAATAAACACATATTATACATCCTACTGTTAATGAGCAAAAGGCCGTTTGTTTCTAAAGCCGCTTATTTAGGTGATTTCAGTGTCACGAGCTTTTCCGTTAGTATGACGTCATAGTGCGCATGCGCAAAAAAATAGCAAACGATGTCCGAGTTGGTTGAATGAACTTGAACTGAAGTGTTTAGTTATTATGCTGTGGTCCTTTTCCATTTTTCGGTGCTCATTAAATCGCCTGCTGTTTTAGGGTCGCTGTAATTCGCAAGCGTTTAAGTGTTCGTCCTTCGGGGTCTGTGAGCTCGTGGCCCTGAATGTTATATCTACAGTGAGCCAAGAATAGAAGCAGCTTGTCACTTCGCCACGTGCCGTGCTGAGTGTGTGCAAGATCGATTAATTCTGAATCAGGGTCACTACATTCGATGACGAGGAAAACCTTGTCGAAACGTTGTACATTTGCTGGTTATGTTAAACTTATATTAAAGTTTTTCTTCATTACCCATTCAAGCCGTCTCCAAGCGTTATAAGGGTCACTACATGTTTACTTCTTCTATCTTCCTGCATATCCTGTCAGTAATTTTGTGCTTAATGAATATGCCTATAAATATATAGATACACACACACACGTCACATACGTAGCATATATGAATATAGGTTCATATATATATATATATTCATTAAATACCCAAAACATAATCCAAATTATGTTATATTCCAGTTATATAACCACATTACAAAGTAAGTAGCTTAGCTGTTATAAATCAGGCAGTTGAAGCTGTTTTTTTAGGGTTCGCCTTTATCTCGTTCGATGTTAGAAAACGTCACGCGTGGAAGGAAACAAGAAATATAATATTAGAGCCACATGTTGGTGCTTGGGTAGAAACTAAAAATATAATATTACAGCCACGTGTTGGTGCTTGGAAAGAAACTAAAAATATAATATTAGAGTCACATGTTGGTGCTTGGAAAGAAACTAAAAATATAATATTAGAGCCACATGTTGGTGCTTGGGTAGAAACTAAAAATATAATATTAGAGCCACATGTTTGTGCTTGGAAAGAAACTAGAAATATAATATTACAGCCACATGTTGGTGCTTGGAAAGAAACTAGAAATATAATATTAGAGCCACATGTTGGTGCTTGGAAAGAAACTAAAAAATATGATATTAGAGCAACATGTTGGTGCTTGGAAAGAAACTAAAAATATGATATTAGAGCACATGTTGGTGCTTGGAAAGAAACTAGAAATATAATATTAGAGCCACATGTTGGTGCTTGGAAAGAAACTAAAAATATGATATTAGAGCAACATGTTGGTGCTTGGAAAGAAACTAAAAATATGATATTAGAGCAACATGTTGGTGCTTGGAAAGAAACTAGAAATATAAATATAAGATTTTGGTACTGGGTCTTGCAACGTCACTCATCTAATCTATCGTTTATCCTTTACAGTGCATCATAGGAAGTTGCTTCTAATGAGAGAAAATGTAAAAAATTATTATTAAATCTAACTTAAGTGAATAGTTTAATAAGTTACTTAGAGCAGGCAGTGAATGGTAGTTCAGAGGCTTGCAAACGGATCTGAAAGACGATGTCTCCTTGTGGAAGAGTCAAAGCCACATGGCAAAGACTCTTCCACAAGGAGTCATACTATTGATGATTACAGCCCGGTATTCCGAAGGGCCAAAGGTTCGATATTCCGAATATTGAACGGAAAAGCAACTACACATGTAGGCCTAACGTTCATTCGGGTTGTTACATTGCATAAACAGTAGTATGTGTATAATGTTATATTAGGGACATAAACAGTAGAATGTGTATAATGTTATATTAGGGACATAAACAGTAGTATGTGTATAATGTTATATTAGGGACATAAACAGTAGTATGTGTATAATGTTATATTAGGGACATAAACAGTAGTATGTGTATAATGTTATATTAGGGACATAAACAGTAGTATGTGTATAATGTTATATTAGGGACATAAACAGTAGTATGTGTATAATGTTATATTAGGGACATAAACAGATAACATTGTGAGGTATATTATATTTATTCCAGAGCATCTATATTGTTGTCACCCGCAATTAAAGCTTTCTAATCTTTTGTAAAAATTATGTCAAAATGCTCATAATAATAACAATAAAACCAACTCTAGTACTAGTGGCGGGAACTTTTCGGAATATCAGCCTGTTCCCTTAACGATCCCTTAACTTTATCAGTAAGTGCGATGTTTGTTTTGTGTATCACGTATACAGATTTACAGAGTTTTGTGAGGCTAAGCGTTATAATTGTTGTTGTTGTTGTTTTCCTGCATTAAATCACTTTATGGTTTGTATATTGTATATCACAAGAAGTAAGAGTGTACGTAATAAACACCAAATAATATAAAAATAATGCCAGAATTGGAGGTTAATATAGTTTTTGTTATAGATTACACTGACGTATCATTCTTTGGGAAATAGGGGTTGTCCGGTACAATTTAGTAATCGGTGCGCTCGTAATATTAGCGTATTTTGTGAATTATAAAATGTCTAAAAAAAACTCGTGTATCACGCTTTCTGATTAACAAGTCCCAAGTTCGTAATCAGATATTAAAATATATGTAATTTAGAAAGTGTCTATAAAATAACTGGGAAATTCTAAGAACTTACGAGGGAAGAATATGTAATAGTCGCTATGTGCAGTGCCGACGCGGCCGTTCGACCAATACCAGGGCTCGTCAGGTCTGCTGAGATACGAGACAGTCTTAGTGGTGGTCGAGGTCAGGAGAGAGAAGCTCGCGCGCTATATGAGCATCATATTAATAGGTCGGGGGGGGGGGAGTTCTAATTCACTTTTCTACAGTCATGCTATGTCCCCTCTGACTTTAAGTTGTATGTATTCACGTTGCGATTAATTTAAGTTAACTTACTTTTGAGCAATACTGTTTGATTGTATCTTTTCTTAAAACTTTGTATTACCTTACACGTATCCCGTTTAAACAAAAGATTTGCTTAATTTAATTAAGTTTACGTGTAAAGTACACGTATTGATACATTTTCAGCTATATACGTCAAGCATTAAATTAACATCTGTTACCTCACGATGTATGTAATTATTACAAACATCTCTGTGGAAACTGACACTCAAGTCTTTGTAAAAGTGGCGTGATTGTGTTGTTCGTTACATGCGCGAAATCCTCCCTGATAAGATAGGTTTACGGTGTACGGTATCAGTATTCAATAGTAAAAGGATCCAGTTGAAATACATGCGTCATTACAGGTTTTATACAGCTGAAGCTGTCTGCACGTGTGTGTGTGGAGGGAGAAGGCTTTCCTGCTCTTGTTTTCTGGAACAAAGCTTGTCGAATACCAAGATTCGCTGTTATTTAGAGCAAACGAATATGTTCTGTTGTTTGTATGTTTTCAAATCCGGTCATAAACACCAGTAGGCACCATTCTTTTGGCAAGAGAACTGAAGGGTGATGGCTAAATTGGTCAGACCTGGAAAAAGGTTTGGTTTGTTATGAATTTCGCGCAAAGCTACACGAGGGCTATCTGCGCTAGCCGTCCCTAATTTAGCAGTGAAGGACTAGAAGGAAGCCAACTAGTCATCGCCATCCACCGCCAACTCTTGGGCTACTCTTTTACCAACGTATAGTAGGATTGACCGTCACATTATAACGCCCCCACAGCTAAAAAGGCGAGCATGTTTGGTGGGACGGGCATTCAAACCCGCGACCCGCAGGTTGCCCATCTTTCGGTCACTAATTCGAAATTAGGAACGGCTTTACCTGAACCCTATGGATCTCGGACCCGGCCATTTATGTCCCTTTTTTGTAAAAGCTGACCAAAATAATTTCATGTTTTAAATCAACAGTTGCGGTCCCTTCTTGTTAATGGTGTTTTCGGACATAATCCCAATAATATCTCACGAGATCTGACCAGTTTACATCAGTCTGTGTAATAAACTAACAGCGCAAATTAATCTTTACAAATAAATGAATAAAAATTATCGAGCATTGTATTAAACATTCTAACCATTAAGAAGATTTAAGGAAACAAATATAACAGAGGTAGAGACGGTTATTACTTACAATTATTAATAAGAGCACCCGAGTGAAAGTATAATAATAACAATATGTCAACCACACTATATCTCTATATACCAGGAATCGAATAACAAAAACCGACCATGTATTTGTAACAACAACGCACATTTAATAACATAAACTGATTGAAGTTATAAAAAAAAGGCTTAAAATCATAAACACTCTGGGGGTGAAGAGAAACAAAAGTTTCTGACCACCCCGGGTTGTCTTTCAGACCCCATAAATTAATTCTGAGACCAGGAAGATTTTTAAACCGAAATTCCTGCTACAATTTTTTTTTTTTTTTTTTATAAACACTCTGAAGTTTAGGAAAAGTCATGCGATGCATATATAAATGCGTCATATGCTTACGTAAACAACGTGCTTCAGAAAATAGGCCATGCTAGATGTATACACGTAACAGGAAGGTATTTGACACGCTAGATTTTCCCGGTCTGCCCTAGATCCGTTAATGTATCCAATATGTCACCAACAGCGGAAAGTAACGTATGAAATGGGTCATTGGGAGTATATGGAACAGAGTTTAATAAATTTGTTGATTAATTATTATTATACCAGAATACAGAATAGCGGTGCAATACATGAAGTGAAATTAATGGGGAGGGGGGGGGGTCGACATTGTAAAATATCAATCAAAATTATATGTGCAGGGGCGTAATCAGGGGGTGTGTGATCGAACGAGAATCTCAGTATTCTAAAATGTTCACAATCTTTTGATTTTCTTTAAAAAATGTAAGTCACTTAAATACTTTGTATAGAAGAAAATATCCACAATTTTTGGGGGGATAAGTTCCCCCTCCCCGCTTTGTGGTGCCTGGCTACTCCCCTGAACGTGAACACTAATTTAAAAGGCTAAGGAAAACAAACGAAGCTGTGTTTAGTGGTAGTGCATTTTGTAGAAAAGTAGTTCCCAAACTCTTTTAGTTTGAGGGTCCCTTGATGTGAATAAAAAAGTTTGACCCCCCCCCCCAAATACAGAGTAGTTTCCAGTTAAATCAGCTCTACTTTAATAACTATGGTGATTAGCTTATGAAGTGGGTTATCGTAAGCGGTAGTGGAAGACGACACTTTACGAGGGTATAAAAGGGGGTGGGGGGAATCAGTGATTTCCTGAAAGTAAAGGGTTGTTTTAATTTTTTACTTTTCCCCAGTATCGCCGTGAAAGGACAATCTTTAAGGACCAAATGATCCCTTGTTGTGCGTATGTCATCTTATTAATATTAACTTCTGATCAAGGCAAGCTGCCTACATTAAGTCAAGACTGCAAATATATACGTAATAATGGGCCTAGATAATTAAATGTGCTGTTCAAATTAGCTTACTTATAATTATTAGGATGCATTATATCATTAGCCGATAATGATGTTTTCGTCTATAGTTTTATAAGTTTGGAACCCTAGCCTTTAACGATGTTTTCGTTTATAGTTTTATTAGTTTGGAGAACTCTGGTCTTTAGCGATGTTTTCGTTTATAGTTTTATTAGTTTGGAACCCTAGCCTTTAACGATGTTTTCATCTATAGTTTTATTAGTTTGGAGAACTCTAGCCTTTAGCGATGTTTTCGTCTATAGTTTTAGTAGTTTGGAGAACTCTAGCCTTTAGCGATGTTTTCGTCTATAGTTTTAGTAGTTTGGAGAACTCTAGCCTTTAGCGATGTTTTCGTCTATAGTTTTAGTAGTTTGGAACCCTAGCCTTTAAAGATGTTTCCGTCCGTACCAGCGCACTTCGAGGGTGTCGACAGTAGTTGGAATCGAGATTATAAGACTACTGAAAGTATACTAATAACGTTATAAAGGGCCGTTTTAGTGGGCTTGCACGGCACTCCGAAAATCCTGTATCAACAGTAATTACCAACTGGGGAGCCTGTAGCGAAATATATCCTATCTGTATAATCTCTTTTGTGGACCAAACAACAGATTTTCATGAGAAAAAAGTGTGTGGGGGGGGGGGGTAAAAACAAAAAACACCGAAACCTGATGCGTTATCAATATTGCATTAAGTTGAATACAGGGGCCAATCGCTGTACTCATAAAGATTAGAATGCATTGTTTATTTTACATCAGTTGGGTATACACACACTTTTAGTGATGTTTTCGACCGTAAACCCAACAATATCTCATGGTTTACGGCCAGCTTAAGGAGATTTAGACTAGCCCTAAATTCATATATTAAGCTAATAACATGTATAATAACAATAAGTTTAGAAAAATGTAAACAGATATATTAAATATTCTAACCAGTATTGTTAGTGACAGAATCATTAGAGAAAGAATAATATATGAAATACTTATGGAACACACGTAATCACTAAGTGTTTGCTTAATTTGTTGTTGTAAAGTTAATGATTCAGCCGTGGTCATCGCTATAAAAGTGACAAATTAATCCAATAGGGGTCTCTGACCTGGTCGTTTAACTCATTGTGTACATAAGATATCGTTCAGGGGAACAAACGAACTTTTTACAGACACTACTGTAGATTGATTTAGTGTTAATGGGAATAAATAAGTAAAGTGCTTTAAAACATCGTTTTTGTTGGCTTTAGAAACTGTTAGGGGGGGGTGGGGGTTTCATTGTATAGGCCCAAGCCACAATTTCAAGTTTGAGGTTTCTCCTTTAAAAAATGATGCTAGTCCACAGAAAAGAAAACTGAGCGTTATGTTGTTATTTGTTTTCAAAGTATACCGTTCGAGAATTTTAGGTTTTGGTCTTATTCAGACGTTTTTTTTTTAGTGTTAGTATAAAAAAGTACCTTTCTTGTGTCAGTCATAAATATTAAGTTTGTGAAGGAGATGAAAATTATATGTATTTAAATACGTTTTTTTTTTAAATAATAATAATAATAAAAAAGCATTTGTATAATTTATTTCACTATCTGGCACTTCTTTAGTAAAAGGAGAATAAGTTTGCAGCTTAAAATTAATCTTATGTGAAGAAAAAAAAAAACGTTTTACAAGATTCCGCGGTGAAAAATAAAACTGTTGTAAGCTAATGTGAAAAGCATTATGGCAAATAGCGTGGATGTATAAAAAAAAAGTAGTGCAGTGGCAGCTGTGGCCTTCACGGCACCGTTATACAGTCAGGGCCTAGGACTATTATAGCCTTGAATGCACTAAGCCTCCTCGATCGACCGCGAGCCGGCCGTTCACCCTTCTCTTCCCAGCATTGCGCCATGCACGCGCAATTGGTTTGGCCTTCACTGCGTGCACAGTGTTTTAATTTCTTAGAAAAAAAAAAAAGTGCTTGTATAACTCTCGCCATCTAGCGGGATCTTTCTACAATGATTAAGGATATTTGTCAGTGACGGGTTTGAAAACCTTGACCCTGGTGGTAGAAAGTGAGATAATTAAAGAAAACTTTAGTGATACAGTATAGATTTCACGTTTTCTCTTATGAAAAGGCTCTTTGGTAGTGGAGTACTTTCTTCACGTTCTGTAACTTATTTGTAAATAAGATACGTATATCAAAGGGAATGTGTAAGAAAGTTTCCTGTTTTATTCATGCAGTATCGGAACGTTTAGTATGAGTTACGTAGAGGGGCGTATTTTACTTTTCATAAAATTAGATAAAAAAAACTGTGCTAAATTGTACATTTTTATGTGAAGAAAAACTATTTCTCTGTTCGTAAATATAGCCCGGCATGGCCAGGTGGATAAGGCA